ATGCATCTATTGGCCTACCACAGACATCAAGATAACATACACAGTGACCTAATACTTGATGCCTATTTGCATTGGTGCATTCATCAGCCATGTATGCACATATTTTGAATATCGTGAGAGTGTTCTTCACTTTTTCAGCTGCTGAGTCTTTCATTGTTGCACTGTATGCTTCTAGAGAGTCAGCTGAGTTTTTTCAGAAAGATAGCGAGCATTTGCCAGTCTTGTTTGAAACCAGTGTCCAACTTCAGGATTAACAAATGACAATGCACTTAACGTTGGCTTCCAGTTTGTAGTGTGTGGCATCATACTTTCTGTTTAGGCAAGAGATACAACAGCCATGTTGATTCACATAAACTGGATTGTGTCTCCAGCATTAACAGCCTCATTAAGTTCTTCTAAAATCGGCTTTGACAGTGACTGGCTTATAAGGCTTTCTGCATGTTGATGCAGCCCAGAGGCATGGTGCTTTGCAGCCTTTTCATATAGGTTGCCAGTATTGGCTTAGCTGATCAGTCTGGCAAACCAAGCTCCTCCACTTTTACTATATAAATACATCATATACCCACATCTGGAATACTGCATGCATTTCTGGTCACCCCATCTCAAAAAAGATATATTGGAATTGGAAAAGGTATAGGCAAGGGCAAGAAAAATGATTAGGGGTATGGAACAGGTTCCCTATGAGGAGAGATTAAAAAGACTGGGACTTTCAGCTTGGAAAAGAGATGACTAAGGGGGCGATACGATAGAGGCTTATAACATCTTGACTGGAGAAAATGAATAAGGAAGTGTTATTTACCTTCACTTAACACAAGAACCAGAGGTTACCCAATGAAATTAATAGGTAGCAAGTTTAAAACAAACAAAAGAGGAAGTTACTCACCTTGTGCAGTAACGATGGTTCTTCGAGATGTGTGTCCCTATGTGTGTCCCTATGTCTGTCCACAACCCGCCCTCCTCCCCTCTACTTCAGAGTTCTCTACAGGGCTCTGTGGTAGAGAAGGAAGTGAGGGGGGTTCGCCCGTGCAGTGCTGAACAGCCTCGAGGCAGACCACGAGGGAGGGAGAGCACATGCGTGGGCTCAAAGGCACACTGCTACCAAACATGTCCAATTAGAGGTGCCGGGGCACACAGACACCTAAAGTGGAGCACCCATAGGGACACACATCTTGAAGAACCATCGTTACTGCACAAGGTGAGTAACTTCCTCTTGCAGAAGGCAATTGTCGGTGCCAAGAGCAAAGCTCAGAGCAGGGCAGAGCTCACAGCAGGAAGCCCCTTCTCACGTTTCAGCTTCCAGAGCTTTGGTGCCAACCCAGAGTGGCAGCTGAGCTCACAGCAGGAGATTCCTCTGCTAGTATTGTCCTGCTGAGATGGCCGCACTGGGGAACAACCCCTCTGGCTGGCCAGTTGCTCGGAGGAGCCTTTCCAGGGGGAGTCTGCTGGTGGCTTCTTCTTCTTTCTCTCTCCTCCTCTTCACCACTCGACCCCTTTTGAAGTGAAGGCTCTGGGGATGATCCGGGGTCAACACCCACGGGAGTCCCCTGCAGACTGAAGTGTTTTCTCTATAGGAGGAATTTTTACTTCAGCTCCCAGCTCCTGTGAGGCTGCAGTTTTAGGTGTGGCAGATAAAGCACGTCTGTGAGGGTCTCCCAGGCACAGTGAGTGTCTGGCCATTACAGGAACTGACTCCTGGCAGGAGAGGCACCACTTGGAGCAGAGAGAGCCAGGCAAGCCCCTTGGCAGGGGGTGTCATGCTCTAGCAGGGAGGAATATGCAGAAGAACAGCGTCTTTACTTTTTTTTTTTTAACTGAAAGAAAATAATTATGAGTCTACTAGATGCCGGGGGGAGCGGGGGAATGCCCCCAGACAGGGAAGGAAAGTTAGGTTCTTTTCCTTTTTCTCTTTTCTTTTTAAACCAAAGGAATAAAATAAAATAAAATAAAATAAAATAAAATAAAATAAAACACTAGCCTGAGTACTTTTCGGGAGAACAAAGGTAACAAAACAAACACTACTTATGCTAATAACACAGATAAGGAAGGGACAACTGCTCCTTCCCTCAGAGGCCAAAGAGGGTAGAGAAGGAAGAGAGGGGGGTTCGCCTGTGCAGTGCTAAATAGCCTCGTGGCATGGGACACTGCTACCAAAAATCTCCGATTAGAGGTGCAGGGGCACACAGACACCTAAAGTGGAGCACCCATAGGGACACTACTCGAAGGAGAAGGAAGTATTTCTTCACACAATGCACAGTCACATGTGGAATTTTTTGCCAGGGATGTTGTGAAGAACTAGATAAGTTATGGAGGTTGGGTCCACCAATGGCTGTTACCCAGGATGGGCAGGGATGCAATACCATGCTCTGAGTGTCCCTAGCCTCTGTTTGCTAGAAGCGGGAAGTGGATGACAGGGGATGGATCATTCGATGATTCCCTGTTCTGTTCAATCCCTCTGAAGCACCTGGAATAGTCATTGTCAGAAGACAGGATATTGGGATAGATGGACCATTGGTCTGACCCAATATGGCTATTCTTACATAAAAATAATTATAATAATAAAAAAGTTTAGTACAGAAACTCCCCAAGATAACGACCTCTCGAGATAGCGATGATGTGAGATAATGACCTTGGCAAACAATGCATTTTAAAAATCTTGGCCTACTAGAAAATGTATATTTATGTGTTTCCCAGTCACAAATCTAGCATTCTGGAATGAAGTCACTGAAACATTGTCCAATGCTCTGGCCTCTGTTGTTTGTCGTGCCACCGTTCACTCTACCACTCCGTCCCCAATGGCCCTGCGCTGTCACCTTCTACTGCCACCTTCCACTGTGACCTCTTCAAGTTGATCTCTCGAGGTTCCACCCAGCTGTCAGTGATTTCAGTGCTCAGTGGGAGAACCTCGCTGCTAGTGCAGGCTGGGCTGTGTCTTCCACAGAAACACTGTCCCACAGCAGGTCTAAGCACTTAGACCTGATTATCAGTGATTTCAGCTCTAGTGGTCACTTTACAAACCAAAAGACTCTCTATGGAACCTAATCAACTCTATCTCTAAATAGGAGAGAGGGTCAGGTCAAATAGTGTCTGTGACTCTTAGGCACAGCCCATACCATCAAGCAAAACACCTGTGCCCCACCCTCTCTCTTCACTAGGATATGGCATCCAAACCTCCTGCTTAGGGAGTGCAGTTCAGTTGAGGATGACCAGTGCTTAATTTGTAATGAAAGAGGTGCCGGGGCTCAAGCAAGTTTGTTACTTTCATAACTGATGTGACAAGCCCAGAGGTCCCAGGGCTATGAACTACCAAGCCTAGAAGTGCCTGGGCTCAGCCATAGCAAGCCCTAGCACAAATTAAGCACGGAAGGAGACCCCCTCATGCAGTCAGCCTAAGTACAGTTCTGCTGCCCTTTACTCATACAATAAAGAAAACAACATTTCATGACCCCCACACATTTAATACTTAAGTGATTTGTAACACAGCACCAGCCAAAATTGATCACTTGGGCAACACAGCTGTGTCTGTTGGATATCTAGGCAGAGTAGGTGTGCATGAAAATACAGTCTGGTCCTGAAGCCTTTCTAACCACCACTGGCTCATCACTAGGTATCAGGGGAGAGCTCATTCAGACCTTGCTTACAAATCATAATTTGAAATTATTAGGTAGGCGAATATAGCCAAAACAAATGTGCCGATATTGTCATAAATAACAGCTGTATGAAGAGGCTAGTCTTTGTTCATACTTTTCAAATCCATTATGCTTTTTCAGGTACAAGTATTTTCTCATATGCTGTATATGCTTTTAAAGTGTGTATTAATGTTTCAATTTCAATTCAAATTTCCAACCAACGACTAAACTGGCAACACTGCATGTAACTGCCGGGGGTGGGGGGGGCGTTGGGAAAATTCAGGGGAGGTGTATACCCCCCGAAATCCCTGGCTCTCACCCCCAAGAAGTACATCTCCCTTGACGGCAGAAATGAAACCTATTAAGAAGTCAGAGGGAAGCCCAAGATCAAATGAATGTGGAGTGTGAATTCTCTTCACTTCAGAAAAGGTTAATCCTTTGAGGTTGGAGTACGCTGATAGAATAGTGCAAAGAAGCCACAGGGAGGAATGAACATGGAGACTGCATTATTCTCTGCCCTAATTATGATAACTCTGATCTCTCTGTATGGACCAGGAGACATTAAACATTGCATCTGCCTTGTTAATACAATGGCCATTACTAAAGAACATTCAGCTCCCTTGCAGTAAAACATTTTTTCCTGCATTTGCCATAATTCAACAAGAGGCCATGTTCACGCATCTTTACTGTAAACACAGTATTTTCCAGTGCAACTCCCTGGTGTTTGAAAACCTAAAGAGGAAAGAAAGGTAGAAAAATGAGACAACCACATTTGACTTTCAGTGTAATAAAACTAGTTTATTTACACAGTAACATGAATGCCACAAAGTACACAGCAAAGTACCACAGCAAACCAGAATGTAACTGCCCCCTGATGGCAAAGGAAGGCTTGGAGTTTATACACTTATTTATATAGAATGTGTCAATATAGATATGAAGCACCAGATAAAGCAATGCAATCAGGAATTCCAAACACAAAGCTTACCCAGAACAATGGAGTCAAAAAAAAAATCCCTTATCTGAGGAATTTTAAAGAAATCCCATTTATAAAAGATCACCAGTTTAGGAATCTCTTATTTAAAAATAATTTTATCTCCTTTTATGAAAAACAAGTGTTCAGCATAATAAAGAATTAAGAACAAAAAAAAAACACCACAAGGATTTGAGCTGCAAAACTTTCTGCAACCAACAAAGCAAAGAAAAAGAACCAGAGTTCTGAAATGGTTTTTCATAAACAGGAGTAATTGGTTTTATGAAATTGGTAAGCTAAAATTCAAGCAAATTTACAGCATATATTATATGCTGTATATAATATATATACACACACACACAAAACAAAAGAGGGGCAAAGTGAATTTTTTGTAGTACAATACAATTTATATATATATATATATATATGAACATATATTTCTCTCATATAAAAAACATTCCAACCTCTTCTAAATCCCTGAAACCTTCTTCCTGGATTTAAGAAAACAAAGGATGAGATGGCTCCTCTTAAACTGAAGTATAAAACAAGTTCTTTAGAATAGCAAGATGCTTAGGTACAGGTAAGTTGAGTATTTCATGCCCATTGCCGTTTCTGAAATCTTCTGTAGACTTAATTCAGTCTCTAACCAGATGTTGAGTGGAGTGCCAAACATCTAATGCAGTGGTTTTCAAACTTTTTTTCTGGCAACCCAGTTGAAGAAAATTGTTGATGCCTGTGACCCAACAGAGCTGGGGATGAGGGGTTTGGGGTGTTGGGAGGGGCTCAGGGCTGGGGCAGAGAGTTGGGATGCAGGGGTGAGGGCTGTGGGGTGGGGCCAGGAATGAGGGGTCAGGGTGTGGGAGGGGGCTCTGGGCTGGGGCAGGGGGTTGGGATGCAGGAGGGGTCAGGGCTCTGGGCTGGGGGTGCAGGCTCTGGGGCCAGGGATGAGGAGTTTGCGGAACAGGAGGGACTCTGGGTTTGGGGGGTGGGCTCAGGGCTGGGGCAGTGGATTGGGGTGTGGGCTTATCTCTGGCAGCTCCTGGTCAGCGGCACAGAGACAGGCTTCCCACCTGTCCTGGCATCGTGGACCATGCTGCGCCCTGGAAGCGGCCAGCAGCAGGTCTGGCTTTTAGGTGGAAGTGCACAAACGGCGGCTCTCGCCCACAAGCATGCTCTCCCCCTCCCCCCCCAGCTCCCATTGGCTGGTTTCCGACCAATAGGCGTGTGGAGCCAGTGCTTGGGGTGGGGGCAGAGCGCGGAGCTCCGTGGCCCCCTGTCTAGAAGCCGGACCTGTTGCTGGCCGCTCCCAGGGTGCAGCGCGGTGTCGGAACAGGTAGGCACTGGCCTGCCTTAGCTGGGCAGCATTGCTGATGGGACTTTTAACATCCCAGTCGGCAGTGCTGACCAGAGTCGTTAGGGTCCCTGGGTGCTGAGCAAGGAGACCCAATGTCTTACATGCCACGACCCAGTACTGGGTCACGACCCAAACTTTAAAAAACACTGATCTAATGCAAGGAGGCTTATAGAAAATAATTTAAAGTCATAAATAAATCTCCCAAGCACAAAGTTCTTTATATTGTGTCTATTCAAACCATAATCCTTCAAAAAGTGCCTCAAAGTGAATAATATAATCTAGACAAACATCTAGTAGAAATTCTTCCTAACACAACAAATGGTCAGGAGGAGGGATTATGAGACTTCGCTCTGGTTCTTTCAGAGTTGTAGTCACCTTACATTAAAAGTTCTGCCCGGAGTTCCTTTTAAAGAAGCATTTTAAATTATTTTTTTCCCTGCTCTTGAAATCTGTTTGGAATCTATGTGCTGGTTTATGGACCATCTCTACTGAACTGAGTTTTGGGAACAGTATGATTACTGAAGCATTTAAAGTTCTGCTCTGCATTTCTTTGGTATTATCTTCTATATATTTAATCATCACAATATAAAAGCCTCTTTTGGTTTAAGGGATTTGGTGCAGCAGATCTCACAGGTATGTCTACACTGTAATGTAAGGCCAGGGTTAGTGGGACTCAGGAACTGATACCCTGGGTTTGCAAGCCCAGGGCTTGAGCATCCACACTGAATATTGACCCTAGGTTTAGAATTTCTGCACCTGGGCCTCCAGCGTCCACACTGCAGTCCACAGATCCTGTTCCACTCATAGCAATGTATATGGGCTGCACTACACAGCAAGATCCTCTTTAAATGGACAGCATTTGATTGAAGGTCTGTGAGATTGAAGGTCTGCGAGTGTTCTCTGGGATTTCAGGAATTGCAGCAGCAGCACCTCCATTAAATCAGTGTAAACTTGATGACCCAGTGATGTTGGGAGTACTACCCATTTACTACACCTGCCAGGAAACAATGTTCAATCTGTATCAAACTGGGGGCGGGGAAGTGCACTGAAGGGTTTGATACTGCTGCCTATAACTGCTCCCAAAGGCAAAACACTCTCTCATTGGCTTCAGGGAGAGAAGGACTAGGTCCCTAGTTGAAAACAGGAAAAAATGTTAAAATATACTCATTTAGGTAAGGCTTCTGAATGGGGCAATGCCCTTGAGATATTTCTATTTCAGCAACAACTGACAAGTTTTTCAGACAAAAGCTAGGGAGCTGGAATAGAAAGTATCTGGGTAACCTCCCCGGTGTTTGATTGCCACAATGCACTAGATTTATTTCAAGTATATATTCTTCCCTCTAACCTATCAGAATCCCCCTGGTCTACAATGTCCAGATGATGTATGCAGATCCTATGGTGCTGTTGGCAGATCCCTAAAGAAAATCTGGAGTGAATGTTGGAGCTTGAAGGATGGTAGGATAATGTTAGACCATGTAAATACTATGTACACACTGGACTGCAGGTTGGGATTTCTAGCACCATAGTATTCCAATAAAATGAGATTTCTTACTTTAGTGCTGACTTCTTAGTCTTCATTTGACATCTGAATTTTAAAAAGAAGCCTTGTCTCTATTTTCTGACATTCCAGAGCCCTCAGAAAAAATTCTGCATTCTCTCATTTCTGGCGATTTCCATATGAGCTTTTGTAGTGGCTGTGCCATCTAAATTCTGTCTAGATGTTCACCTGAACCATATATATTCACTGGACCAGACCTGAGGCTTGGAAGATAAACTGGGTTTACTTATCCATTTTTTAGGAAACAAGAAATCCACATTCTATAACAGGTTCTTGTTTTCCCAAACTCCTAAATTAACAGTGGTTTGCATCAATGCCTCCTCAGCATATAGATGTGTGTGCAGCACATCCACTATATATAATATGAGGAGCTGCACATCTTACACACATTCTCTTCTTTTCAAGCTATTCAGTCTCTTCATCTTCTGGAGTTGGAGTGTCTGTAATAGATTGTCAAAGCAATAGGACTCTTGAATTTTAGTGTATTATGTCTAGACCAAGTGACATCTCATCTATTTCTCTCCCTGTGCTAAGCCTCAATTTCAAATGTGAAAAATCCAGAGACCTGCTGTCATTTGGGGTTTATTTTGGTACTATGAGCAACTTCAAAGGAACTTTTTCATGTAACTGACCTTCCAGAAAATGTTCCTTTCATAAAATTGATTAACCCAGCATAATATGAAATGCAACATTTTATTTTGTAGTCATCTTTTTATATTTATGGGTATGTCAAGACAGCAGTTGGGAGGTGAAAGGCTCAAGCTAGCACCTAAAAATAGCAGTGTAGCCACAGCAGCATGGGTGGTGGCTTGGGTTAGTTGCCTGAGTATGTATTTGAGGGGGTCAGACGGGATGATACTTCGGTGGCTAGCCTGAGGCGTCGTAGCCAGGCTGCTATTTTTAGGCACTAGCTTGAGCAGAGCTAGCACGTGTCTGTCTACCCACATTGGGAATCACAGTGTATACATACCCTGTGTGGTACCCAGCTGGTGTGTATGCATACCCTATGTAGGCAGTATTATTTATAGGGCTGTTAGCAGGTGGAGAGAGATTCTGACTGATTCTCTCCATTACTATTCTAATTCTTTGACAAGGCACTATACATTGTGCATTCAATTGCTGATCGAGATTGTTCCATCCAAAATGTTAAAAAGATTTTTAGTGGCCCTAAAAACTTCAGGAACCACTAATTCTAATTCTTCATCAAATAATTACATGATTTTCCAGATCTTATTTTGAACTTGAAAATCTGTATAATTTATATTTAAAAAATAGTGAAATGGCAGCTTTTAGTAATAGAAAAATATATATTTACAATCAATACTGTTATCTTAGAATTGCAGCTCTTCTCATTTCTTGAGCTCAACTAAAAGTGCTACACTACTTAAAAATCCAAACTCTGTGCATGTATATGTCCACATGCAAGTACATAGGCAGGGGTTCCATTCCTGATACATAAAGAATCCCACTGACAAAGGGAACAGGTTTTTTCCTCATTTGTTTAGAAATTATGCTGTAGCATCCCCCCCCACCTTTTTGTTTGCTTTTGTTTGTTTACAGTCAATTTCATGCATACATTCTCAGATATTTGTGCGGTGTGGTTCTTAATCAGCACGGAGGACCCCCATAAACAGAATTATAATCCTCAAGGATGTCTGCAAAAGCAGCCCCAGAACCACCAAGGAATGGAAGCTCTTGCCAGTTTATGTTTGTCCTCCTTGATCATTCTTTTGTTCTTAAAAAGAAAAAAAAAGTAAAAATCACATTGATTTTACAAATTGCTAAAGGTTACCCAGTGCTGCACAATAAAGAGATCGGTAGTGAACATTCATCCATGCTTGATTATACTGCAGAACTAAAATGAGTACTGGTTTAAATTTAATCATAAACAATATGAACTGAAATTTGATCTCTAAAGAACAAAGACATACAAAGGCTTCGGACCAGCTGCGTTAAATACATAAGGTTGTAAAACATTCAATATTCAACTTTGCATGTGCGTGTTGACATGAAAGTGACACTGAGAACATGTGTCCACATACACACACAAAAAAACCCCCAAACAAACCAGGCGGCCTAAAGGAATGTGCCTACTGCAATGGCCAGTGGTCCATGTGCTACTCATACAGCATATATTTGTTAGGTGAGAAGTTATGTGCAGATAGATGCTACTTAAAAAAAACCAAAAACAAACACTAATCCAGACCAGGAGAACAAGAAGAAGCAGTGTCCTGTGCTTAGCTTAAAGGGTTGGTAGTTTGCAGGTAGCATTTAAGTGAGCTGTCAACTCATGCTCAATGTATATAAGCCATACGGCATTACACGATTCTGTGCCCATATGAAACAGGGCTGCATTTATTGATTGTGCAATTCTCTGTAAAGGCTTCTACCACAAGTCTGTTCAGCATTATGTAGAAAGCCTCTTTCCCAAAGTGGTGGAAGTCATCAGCTCCATGCATTGCAATTGTGCTTAAGTGCACTGCACTCTTTTTGCATTAATGCTGCCACCCCCATTAACTCTTTGAGATTTTTTAAAGTGATATATATCACATTAAAATACATGATCCTTATCCTTGCCTGATCCCTCTCTGATACAGATGAATCAGACAAAAGGATTTTTCATCAGAAAGTTTAAAAACATTTAAAAAGGCCACAAAAATATTCTATATATTACTGCACAATCAATGTAGGCTTCCACATACCACAAGGCTTGGCTCTAACAGATGCCAGAGAAATTTCACCCCCTTCAAATATGCAGTGTGTACACGGAGTTCGTTTCACTGACCTCATGCCTGCAGGACTGTTTGTTTGGTTTCCATGCATCTAGTCCAAGCATGCATATGCTATAAAAAGTGGCTATTTGTTTTCAAGACTGAAGTAAACTGATTTCTCACAGTTTTAACAAACAATGAAAAATGAAATATCAATCCATATAAAGAACACATGTAACTCTGCGCATTTATGTGCCAGGAAAGTAAAGGAAGGATTTGCAGATCTAGCATCAGGTAAAGTCTGGTAAGTAACGTAAACACTGTAATATACAGATTTTAAAAAATACATACAAGAATTGCACATATATCCATAGGAGAGAAGCACAGGCTCAAAACTTGGGCTGTATGTTTTCCACCACCCATCTCAGAATATTAAATATCACCTTTCATTTGCCCCCATTGTGTTCTTCAGAGATATTTGAGACAATTGAGAACCTAGCAATACTGAGCAAAGAGACCATCTGTATGATTGTAGGCGTTCCATAGGAAAGGTCGCTATCTCAGGGAAGGAAACCAGCAGCTGCCTCAAAAGGTGAAAAGTTCCTTTAGGTTGGACTTTTTTTTTTTAACCTGTCACCTTAATACCCGCCAGTGCCTCCTTACTCTAAAACGATACCTGCAATGATCTCTAAGCTATGTCAACAGCCATTCAATTTTTAGGGATTTTTAGGGTGTTGTCTGAAGCAGCTAGTACACTAGTAAACATTAGTTACTGATAGGAGATTTGTAGCCAAATACTGCTGTGGGGAAAATAGATCAGGTCACTGTTAATTACAGCTGCCAAACTTTAGAGGTCTCTCAGTAATTAAATAGCAGTGTTTGCCCCCTTGTTTTTCCCCCAGAGAAATGCATTTGAAGTAAAACCATCTCCATGTGGCCTGTTAGAAATGTTTAGTGCTTGTCTGTGTAGGTATCTCCTGCCAACACACCAGCACTGCCAATTCAGTCCTGCTTTGCAATATGCCACAAGTGGCTAGCAAACCAAAATAAAACACAAAGAAGGAGGCTGCTATTTTGATACCTGATGCACAGCAGCAACTGAAGGAGGACTGGTTATGTAATTTCTGTTTATTTCAAGCCCAGGCAGTGCCTTTTATGTGGGGGAGGGATGTTTCAGTTTTTCTTGGTATGTTATGTTGCTCTTGTTTAACACTGTTATATCTACAATACATGACTCTCTGGTCATATATACTGGTGGGAAGTTCTGCTTTTGCTTTTTAGTGGAGATACTACAGGTTGATAATCATAGGCTGATTAAGGCAGGATCCTTGGAATCCACGACCCATGATCAGAAGGGATATGGACAGGTAGCAAGTTAGAGAAGGCAACAATATTGGACACAGATGATTGCTGCCTGCTGGTTACTTGCTGGGATCAGAGGACTGCCCTATTTGGGAGGAAAATAAAATATTTAAGAGTAGGAGTAAAATAAAAATCCACCTGAATGAGAAGACTAAGTGGATGAGCCTCAGCCTAGACTGAGAGGTAGAACCTTTCACCGGGGATGGAGCACAGGCAATAGATTTGTGGTCAGGGGCTCTAAACTTTGGTGGATCATTTGATTCACATTTATGATGAATTCATCTCTGTTGATGGTCATAAATGGTCACTGCTTTTTCTGCAGATGCTACCACTAGAAATGGCAGGATCCATCCAGAAGAGATGGGGAATTCATCCTCTATAGTAATATAAAACTAGTGGTCTCTTTAAAATTTTTCTCTCCCCTTTTTCAATCTGTTGAAAAATTAACCCAACCTTGGAGGTATATAATCCAATTGCAATCACTGTACATATGATTAAACAAGGAAGGCCTAGGAATTGAATAAAGTCTCCATCGTATCTTCAATAGGAGACAGTATTTCCAATTAGAACCTATTTGCGCAGGGTTGCTAGCTTTGAGATCTAGGCTGTTTTTCTCAGCAGACGTGCAAAGTGTGAACCCTAGAATAAAGAAGGTGGGAGCAGAATAGAGCAAGGAGTAGGGGGTTGAGGAAAAGCAACAGCTCGTACAAACTAGTGTTGCTGCATGATTTTCACAATGCGACTGAGTGAATCTGTAGTGGCAAATGCCAGATATTGAGAACAAAGCCAGTCTTCAAGGCTGACTCCACGCTCCCTGTCCAAGGACTTCTCTGCAAACTTGATCATCATCAGCGTCCGTTTGATGTCCAGCCAGTTCTGCAGCACAGCATCCTTCCGTAGTGGGCTGGAACATGAGCTCAGAGTGTGAAACAAATCCTCACGTGGACCCCATAATAAACACTGAAGGATTCCCTTGGCTTCAGAAATAAGTATTCTCTCTGAAGGATTGGGATTCAGCAGGCAGCTGGCGAGTTGCTGGAGCCCATAGGAATAGAGGGAACGGGAGGGGATCCTGGGGAGGTCAGCACGGGTATACTCCTTCTCCTTCAGCTCTGGATTCTCATCAAAGGGGTTGGGTAAGTGCAACATTTCATAGATGAGGATGCCAGTTTGGAACTCATCACACTTTTTGTATTGTGTAGCAGTGATGATCTCTGGGGCAAGGCGGGATTGGTCCCGTAGGACCTCTGGATCTACCATATGTCTCTTTTGCTTGGCCTGTGAGAAATTGCTCACAATTAGCCTGGCTGGGCAAGCTGCGTTGGGATTGGGCTCCACAGGCTCATAGTTCAAAAGGCCTCCCCTTGGTCTGTAGTGAACCAGCAGTAGGTTCTCCAAGCGCAGATCACAGTGTGTGATGTGATAGGGTTTCAGGTGCTCCAGGCCTGAACACAGCTGTAAGAGCAATAGACACACCTGCCTTTCATAGAAGTCTGCGTTATTTGCATGGCGTGCTGTGGACTCTTGCACAAAGTCAGCCACCGTTAGGTATGGTACCTCCCGTGTGATGACCACAACACGGCTGCGCTGCTTGCTGATGGTCCGCTCACTGCCTGAGTTGTCTTTCTGTGAAGCCTCCAAACAGGAAGGGGTTTCTTTGTTCTTTTGCTCATCTTCTATCTCTCCTTCCTTTTCATCTTCCTCCTCCACCTCAGGTGCATTGGGATCCTCCCATGGAAGGAGGCGAACAGGTACATCAGCTAAGAAATGGCCACAGTCCTGTTGGATGTTAAAGTTAATAGCCAGACTCTGTCTGATAGCCAAGCTGTGGTAATACTGTTGGGATTCTTTAGCTTTGCTCTTACAAATCTGTTGGCAGAAAAGAGCACAAAACCAAAGTCAATTATTATAACTTTTCATTTGTAAATGTTTTTTTCTTTTTAAATGTGCACCTGGCTGCCTGCTGCCAACCCCACCCCAAATACTAGAAATTAGGGAGAGTGAGGCTTAAAAACCCTCACCTCTGCCCTTTGGGAGCACACTTTGAAACTCTTATATGTTTTTATGCATCTTACATTGATTGCTTTTTGGAGTGAAAGCTAAGGACTCTGGACTTCAATTTATTAATTTTTGGAATATACCATGAGGTAGTAAATGATGACACAGCCCACTGGAGATTTTATTTGATATATTTCTCATAGAATCATAGAACTGGAAGGGACCTCGAGAAGTCATCTAGTCCAGTCCCCTGCACTCGTGGCAGGACTAAGTATTCTAGACCATTTCTGACAGGTGTTTGTCTAACCTGCTCTTAAAAATTTCCAATGAGAGAGAATTCACAATCTCCTCAGGCAATTTATTCCAGTGCTTAGCCACCCTGACAAGAAGTTTTTCCTAATGTCCAACCTAACCTTCCCTTGCTGCAATTTAAACCCATTGCTTCTTGTCCTATCCTCTGAGGTTAAGAAAAACAATTTTTCTTCCTCCTCCTTGTAACAACTTTTTACATACTTGAAAACTGTTATAATGTCCCCTTTAAGTCTTCTCTTTTCCAGACTAAACAAATCCAATTTTTTCAATCTTCCCTCATAGGTCATGTTTTCTAGACCTTTAATCATTTTTGTTGCTCTTCTCTGTACTCTCTCCAGTTTGTCCACATCCTTCGTGAAATGTACTCCAGTACTCCAGTTGAGGCCGAATCAGTGCAGGGTAGAGTGGAAGAATTACTTCTCGTGTCTCGCTTACAACACTTCTGCTAATACATGTACTCCTAAGTTACTTTTCTGGGATGACCTTGGAAGATAATCTTATTTTTTTCCTACCTCTCTCTTTAGTTTATATAATCATCAGAAAGAAGACATAGGTAGAAAAGAATGTATGGTATCAGTTTTTGTAACACCCAGCAGTGATGGGGAAGTGCAAAGGCCTTCCTTTACTCTCCCATCATCATCTCACGGTTGATAGCCACCTTGGCCACAGCAGCCATAGGGACTGTTCAAGCTGTTGATAAATTGTTCTCTGCTCATTCTATCCCTCCGTCTTCTAATATATCATTCAGTACAATTATGTCTGCCATTCGAGCATTACAATCCCATTTCAATCAATTCAATGGTAAATTGGATTGGTAGTCTCTAAAATTACTTCTTCGGAAGAGAATGTCTAAAAAGTAATAAATTAAAAACTTTGGCTCCCAATTCTATAAACATTTATGCATGAGAGTAACTTATAATTATATAATTTCACGTAATGTTTGGATATTGATTCTTTCTGAGCAGTTAGATGGCTCAGATCTCGTTCATAAACTTCCTTTATTGTTTCAAACAATTTTGTGAAGAAAATTTCAATAATCTTTGCAGATTACTAAAACTTTCTAAATTACATTTGAATTTCTCCTCCAGCTGCTGCTTTGTGTAAAACATTGAGAGTTACTTTCACTTCACTAACTGATAGACATAAAGCATGTTTGAACAATACAGAAATAAAGGAAATGTTACATTTTGCCTGATATAGTTCAAGTTCGCAAATGTTCAGAAAGAAATGGTTGATGTTTAAATCTGAGTTATTAACATCATTTAGGGTTGCCAGGTGTCTGGTTTTCGACTGGAATGCCTGGTCAAAAAGGGACCCTGGCAGCTCCGGTCAACACTGCTGCTCAAGGTGCAAAACGTCCGGTCGGTAGCGTGTCGGAGCTAAGGCAGGCTGCCTGCCTGCCCTGGCTCCGTGCGGCTCCCAGAAGTGGCCAGCATGTCCAGCTCCTAGACACAGGGGCGGCCACGGGGGGGTCCGTGCATTGCCCCTGCCCTGAGTGCCGGGTCCGCAGCTCCCATTGGCCGAGAACTGCAGCCATTGGGCACTGCGGGAGCAGCACCTGCCGGCATGAGCAGTGCGCAGAACCCCCTGGCCCCTCCACCTAGGAGCTGGACATGCTGGCTGCTTCCGGGAACCGCCTGAGGTAAGTGCCGCCTGGAGCCCGCACCCCCCCCCCCAGCACCCCAATCACCTGCCCCAGGTCGGATCTCCCTCCCACACGCTAACTCCCTCCCTGAACCCGCACCCCATACCCCCTCCCACGCCCCAGCCCTGAGCCCCCTTTTGCACCCAAACTCCCTCCCAGAGCCTGCACCCCGCACCCTCTCCGGCACCTGAACCCCCCTGTCCTAGCCCTGAGCCCCCTCTCGCACCCAAAATCCCTCCCGTAGCCTGCACCCTTGCCTACTTATCCCTGGCCCCAACCCAGAGCCTGCACCCCAGCCTGAGCACTCACCCCCTCCTGCACCCCAATCTCCTGCCTCAGCTGAGTGAAAGAAGGTGGGGGAGAGTGAGTGATGGAGGAGGGGGGATGGAGTGATCAGGGGGGCGGGGCCCCAGAGAAGGGGGTGTGGCTTCGGGGAGGGACAATGGGCACAGTAAGGGTGTTTGGTTTTGTGCAATTAGAAAGTTGGCAACCCTAATATCATATATTATTTGTATTTCAGTAGCAGCCTCATTGTACGAGGCAAACATGTAAAAAAGAGACGATCCCTGTCTTAAAGGACTTACTATTTTTAAGATTCTGGTCCTGCACAGACTTACGCATATTAACTTTACACACTAAGAGTGGTTCCATTGACTTCAATGGGACTTCTCACTGTGTGTAAAGTTAAGCACATACATAATTCTCTGCAGGATTGGGACCTAAGTGATCAGCTGGTATAACTACAGCAGTACTTTCTCCGTGCAAGGCTTAGATTGAGGGAAGACAGGAAGAGGTTGCTTTTTGGATTTTGATGACGCTAAAGCTTGGCTTAACTCATGTCTGAACAATGTGAAAGAAGAACAGAGTGATGAGGGGATAGATGGGTCAGGGGACAATTATGGCACAGTATTCTTTCTGATTTTCAGTAAAATGTTGTAGCATTTTTCTGTATATTAATTCATATGAATGTGTGCTATCATGTATTTTTTGCAGTTTCTTACAATTTTTGGGAATATTTGGTAGCTGTCTGTTTTTTCTAATATAGCATCCAAAGTCATTTAAGGACTTATACTTGACAAACTGTAATTTGGGGGGTGGGGGAGAGATCATTATTTCTTTGGAATTTTGTCTTTACTATTTGTTAATCACTATAATTTGATTGATGATGTGATTGAAAATGATAAATAAATGGAAAAAGTGGATCCTTAGATTGATAGTGTGTGCTGAGTATGTGAGTTTAGTGCTTGAGCGATAGCAATGCTCTTTACATTAGGAAAGGAAACTGGGGTGTTATTAGAAAATCCATTTCAAACAGCTCCATGTTAAACTGTGGTCCCTTCATGCCTTTCAACAGCAGCTCTGTAATGCTACCACATTATCTCTGAAAACAAGCATCTTTGAGGCCTGTGCCATTATCATCAGGATCTTTTTTAATTCATGTTAGGAGTTGCTGGTGGCTCTGCACATTTTGGGAAGTTATAAATGCCTGTAATGAAGGCAAAGGATCCCCCATCAATTGTATTCTCTCTGTAGAGACTCACTGATATTCTACTTGTTTAACAGATAAATAGTTGAACACTTAGGCCTACATTGTGTCTCTACATCCTCTTCCCACAGTAGAGTCACACTACTATGGAAGGAGATCTTAGAGACAGACACAAAGGCTCTGGGCATGCAGGCCAGAGCAGTGGCTGTTATGCCTTTTACAGGATACAGTGTGTGCAGTTTCCTGTGCCAGTCTAGTTCTGATGGCTAGTACAGAGGGAAAGTGCTGAACTTGCCTCTCGATATGCACTTTAAGAAGGCTAGTTCAATAGCTATGCATAATAATTACACGCCAGGAGTCCAGGGCTCTGACTAGCTTCCCTTCAGCTATTGTGCAAGGCTAGTCAGACTGGCCCTTAATTAAAAAAAAAGTATGTTTTTCATCTTTTATGTGTTTACACTATTAGCAACTGTAAATTACTGGGAGATTAAGTCCTCTGTGCTTGCCGATCAGAAAAGTGCACTGTCAGATAATCATATGCAATTAGACATGCTAGGTGATTACATTTTTGATTCAGTCCTCCTCCCTCTGATTCTGTGAATGTTCCAATACATCACAAATACCTGAGCCTCCCAAAACACAGACACACTGGAGTTTAAATTGCGTGTTTATCACTGTCATGTACAGGCAAAGCAAATTTACAAAATGCATTTTCTAGTCAATTTTATTTAAAAAGGAAAATGCACCACTTTCAGGAGCGAATGCTGATTGTTACTATATCTGAGCACTGGCTCTTCGTAATTTACACTCACAATGCATTTTTTAATGGTTGGAGAAGGGTGAGCTAACCCTAACCTCACCAATAGAATATCCCCCAAAGTCTTTTAAAAATACAGAAAGTGATAGTAGCTACGTGGCCCTGACCCTGCAAACATGCATGAAGTGAAATGTGTCAGCTGACAGTCTTGGAGACTTAAGTCCCCTGCTTCATAAAAGAACTGGTACTGCATAGGCAGCAAAAGGGGAGGCTTGCTGCACACCATACCACCAGTGTGTCTCAAATGTCATCTGGAAAAACATTCTGAAGGTGTGTGAGGGTAGTTCAGTTTCCACACCAGTTAAGTCTTTGGCCTCTTTCTTGGGATGGGCAGCAAAGGTGGCAATTCATTCCAGTTGGGGTGATGTTTCTCTATGACATGGGATACTTATCTAAAAATAAAGTGGTGTGTCCCTTTTCTATCCAAAAGTGCTCCTCAGTTTCCATATTGAGTTCTATGCATGGCATCTCCCTTCATTTTCTATTTCCATTCCATGCTTTGATATTTGTAACCTGGTTTGTGTTTCTGCTCTCATGACGATAGATGAACACCTGAGTTTACCCATGCTAAAAATAGCAACTTGTTAGTCCTGTTCAGTGACCGATCGTCA